CCCTGTGCCCCCATCTTTCTGAAGCGTTTATCATTTCGTTTGACACACATTGGGGGCCGTGGGTAACCGAAACGTGAAAAGAACTCGCTTTCTAACGTTTCAATTATTGTTTTAGAGGTCACTGTTCCTAGGGTGTAAGCCTCGGTCCACCTACTAAAACAGTCAGTTGCTACCAGTATGTATTATTTTCCCTTGCTGGAACGTGGGTACGGACCCATAAGATCGACACTGATAACTTCCCATGGTTGACGGGGTCGTTCAAGGTTGCATTGGGTCGTTAGGACGTGAGTTTGGTGGATTTGCACACGCTCACACGTGACACGCACCTACATATAATCTGACATCGTTCTTTTGACCTTTCCAATAATACCGTTGTCGAACCGCCCGGTACGTTTCTTTCCAACCCGGGTGGTTGGACAAGACGTGATAGTGACACCTCCAAATTACGTATTATATTTTGGCTTTCGGTATCATGATGGGTGTGTGGGGTCCTACGGTTACGCATAAGAGGCCGTTGGAGAAAATATATTTTTCTGTCCCCGGTTTTGCGCTCTCAGTGTTCCGCGTTGGGCTGACCCCTTGTTGACCGGTGATTACGTCACGAATTGTAGCGTCTTCGGCCAACCGCTTTTCGAGCGTTGTTGCGGTGAGGGGCGTGTTGTCATTATCGTGGTTATTTACCATAGAGAAAATTCGGTCGGACTCGAGGTCAGTGTCGGTTGTCGGCGTTGTTGGGGTCCCTAACAATTTTTCCTCTAGTTGGTCTTCGTCAACGGTTGGCCCCTGTGCCGGATCGCGGTATAACAAATCGGGAGCTTCGTTTTGTATTCCCAGGACGTATACCGTACTAAAATCTAAATTAGCTAGTTGTAATGACCAACGTGTTAATTTTGAATTTTTGTCTTTAGTCCTGTATAACCATGTTAGTGCCGAATTGTCGGTTAGGAGTTCGAAACTTCGGGTTTCTAGGTATGTACGGAATTTTTCTGTCGCCCAGATTACTGCTAGGCACTCGCGTTCGACCGCAGCGTACCTTTTTTGCTTTTCGCTAAACTTCTTGCTTGCGTAGAACACTATGCGTCTTTCCTTCGGTCTGTCACCCCATTGGAAAAGTACAGCACCGGCTTCGCTTGCATCACTTTTGCAGACAAAACGGTTTGCTATAATCCGGGTGGCGACAATTTCGGTGATGTGACTAGCGCGTCTTTTTATTAATTCGAATGCGCGTTGTTCTACATCTGTCCATTTCCACCTTACTCCCTGTTTCAATAAATTTTTTAGGGGTGCTATAGTGTCAGCGTAGTTGTCTACGAACTGGCTGTACCAGTTGCACACGCCTAAAATTTTTTGTACGTCCCTAACCTTTGTTGGGACCGGAAAATTGTCAATGCATACCAATTTTCCCGGTTGTTTTGTTATGCCCTCCGAGTCTACAATGTGTCCTAAAAATGAAATTTCGCGGAGACTGATTTTACATTATTTTGTGTTGCACGTTAGTCCGAATCTCTTGAGACTAGGTTAACTTGTACGAAATCATCCTGGTAATCCCTCATGACCTCGTTCATGAGTCTCACAAAAGTCATTGGACTATTTTTTAGACCGAAGTTTACCACTCAGTAATCATTATTCAGATTTCGTTTACTTTACCTCTAGATACCATTTTCAAGGCCACAATCGCCCGTTCCAACCAATTCACGGAGTGTCGTACCCCTCATTATACTGCACTAAACTTCGCGAATTGTTATTGGTGTACACTGTCTGTACACAAACACGCGATTCGTAAATCAATAATTAATGTATTAAACATACACGACTTTATTATAAATACCTTACTACTGGGCCCATAACCTGTTGAGTTACACAGATATACAGAAGCTAAAGTTAAATAAATGTAAGATCGGATAGAATATGTAATAATATAATAATATGTATAATTGATATGAATAACTATAGTGCTCCGATGCGTAATATAAAACAACGACTAATCGTCCTACAGGCTAGTACGTACATATAACGAATACGCTATAGAAATATAAAATGCCTATTCAGCGTCTGCTGTTCTACAGTGTGAAATGTGTGAATAATTTGCTTATAATCTATATAATACAGGGTGTGTTGTTTACATTCAACAAATATAATCATACATTTGTAGATCTTCAATAATTATTGAATTTATTATACAGGTTAGTAGATATTTTATTTTATTTTTACATTTTATATATAATTTAAATTAAAAAAATCAATCACAGTGCTTAGTGCAGCAGTTAGGTTAGAGTACTAGTACTATACTATATTAGACGCATAGTGAATAATATTTTTACCAAGCAACATTATCCTTATTATAAACTATTAATTATTATCTTTTTTATTATTAGTATAAGTATTTTCATATATCCATTTAGTACTTTATCTTAATAGTTTATTCAATTTCGTATACAAATCGCTATAATAGGAGTTGGTGAAATGGTCGAAAGGTGGACAGATAGTGACATGACCAAGTTTTTTTAGGTATACCAAGAAAAAGAAATTCTATGGAATCCAAAACTGGAATTGTATAGAAATAATGCAACTCGAATAGCAGCTCTGGACGAAATTATTCAGTCTCCAAAAACCAAATTTAACACCGAACGATTTAAAGATTAAAATTAAAAACATATGAACTACTTATAATAGGTAATTGAGTCAATTACTTAAATCTAAAAAAAGTGGAGCTGGAGCCTATAAGCCAGCGTTAAGAAGACGTGTCACGGAAAAAAATCACCCGAAAAAATCCTTTAAAAACATGTTTGCGCGTTCCAATAATATGGGTTACTGAGTTGTTTTATCGTAAAAACACCTTTGAACAAAATTGTAGAGGAGAGTTATATCTGGTTCCGTAAGAAGCCCTTTTTTTGAAATTTTTATTTCTAAGTCCTAAAAATGACTTTTGAAAAATTAAAAAAAAGTGTATTATTAATCATGATATAATTCATGATGTTTTAATGATATCAAAAATCGGGCTTCTTACGGAACCAGATAAAAATCTCCTCTACAATTTTGTTCATAGGTGTTTTTACGATAAAACCACTCAGTAATCCATATTATTGGAATGCGCAATCTATGTTTTATAAGAAAAACGCATAAAATTACGGCCGTCTAGTGCTGCTGCGTTTTTATTACGGCAGCGTTCGACAATGTTCGTTACCCCCCGATTCGCTACAACTACCGCTTCCAAGTTCATAACCGGTTTTTGACGAGTACACACTGCCAGCGCCCAGCGATAAGCTTTACTATAAATAATATTATAATGATTATTAACCACGGTGGCATAACGATATAATAATTTTATTCGCAACTACTATAATATTCCGGCTTATATTTATTTGATTTAAATTGTAAAATATAATTATGAAAATTAGTGGAAATAATTATCCGATTTCGACCATTTTTTTTAACATGTTTGAAATTTTCCAATACATTAAATTTGTTTGCTTCGAGTAAAAAAAAAAATGATATTGGTAAACCTTTTAAAGCTAATCATTCAAATACGCAACATTTTAAAAGGCCGCATAGGATTAGATTTTTTAACTTATTGAATATTATTACCCATAAAAACAAAGTTCGTTTTAATGTTTCAGTGGTGTATTTATTAACCGCTTAAAAATCAATTAGATACTGTTAAATAAAAAGAAAAAAAGAAACAATAAATATTCATACAGAAATATAATAAAAGAAATAAACAGTAATAAAATAATTTAAAAAAAATGTTTTAACTTTTATCAAATAAATATTAACTTTGCGTTTTAAGAACATATAATATTATAGTTTATAATATATTGATCAAAATTCGATTATTATTGGCAGTAATTATAAATAAAAATATCATTAAAACTATGGATAATATAAAAATGTAGGTACTATTTTAATTACACACGAACAATGTAAAAATCATAATATGATATTATAGGTAATTTACCATCAATAGTACAAATGGATCGCGGTGAATTGGTCGCGAACATTTGATCGCCGGTGAATTGGTCGCCGGTTAATTGATCGCGGGTGAATTGATCGTGAATATAATTGGTCGCTAGGATAATTCATCGTCAAACGAACAATTTTAGTTTTTTATTTTTTTTATTATACTAATTGATCGTCAAACGAACAATTTTAGTTTTTAAATTTTTTTATTATACTAATTACATAGGTAGTTAATATTTAATATACATATCCGAGTTTTATGTTTATTATTTTAGAAAATACTCTTATTTATTTTTAAATAACGTACAGTAATTCCAATTTACGATGTACAGATTAACAGATATAATAATCTTATAGGTACACACGAGATAATTGAACTAGCGTGGCAATAACTTAGATAAGCTTATACGATCGTTATCGACTTATCTATATCTATATTCCGATGGTCGTACCAATTTGTCATTACATACTTGCATTTGTTAGTGGATGCTATATAGTACGTGTGTGTTTTCTGTTTTTTTATTTTATAATAATGGAGTTCATAAAGAGTGAAAAAGGCAAAGATAAATTAATTTATAACGGCTATATGTATACGTTTGAAAAATTTGGAAGCGAAGAAAAGTCAATATGGAAANATAATTTTCAACTCCAACTTTAAATAATTATAAATTAAAATGTATGATTATTAATATTATTATTTTTATTTTTATTATTTTTTATATAATTATTATTTTTTAAAAACAATTTTGACGATCAATTATCCTGGCGACCAATTGTATTCACGACCAATTCGCCCGCGATCAATTCGCCCGCGATCAATTCACCGGCGACCAATTCACCGGCGATCAATTGTTCGCGACCTATTCACCGGATACCAGTACAAATAACATAATATATACATTAGATCCACTTAAAATATTATACAATATATAATAATTTGTAATACAATTTGTTTATTTCACTTGTATAGACAAGTGAAATAAAGTAATTATAAACTATAATAATTATCAGAAAACTATAAAGTATTTTGTAAAACAATTTTTAAAAAAAAACCGAGTATCGAATTACAACTAATAAACAATAATTCATTAAACTGATTAATTATTTTTGTGTAGCACAGGGACGATATCCGAGCTCTATTATATTATTTTCTATGGATAACTTTTTATTTTTATTTTTAAAATACATAAAAATACAATATATTAATATTGCAAATATTAATAAAACTAAGTATTTATTTTCAGAAACGAATTCATATGTCTTTTCTATAGTAAGGAAGGTTATCAATTTTTCCTGTTGATCTAGTTGTACGTTTATTCGATTAAAAACGTCTATATAAAATTTGAGATTTTTTATTTCATTTAAGTGAATTGGTTTCGGGTATGATTGATTAATTGGCATATTACAACAAGAATCATTTAAAAGAGATAATTCTATTGGTAAAATAACAGAAGTTGATGATTCTAACGATTGTTCTGTTCTAAGGACACCTTTCGTAGTGAAAGCTAAACATCCAGATTTCATGTATAACTTTCCAGAATTTTTAATTTTAATTTTAAAGTTTATATTTTGCTTATTACAAACTATTGTTATAGTCATCGGATTTTCACACACAAAATACCAATTACTCTTAAAATATGACGCATACCACATTTCTTTTTTGAACTCGGTAATATATGTTTCACATTGTTGTGGTTTAGTGACAGAATTCTTTAGTAATTCTGTTACACAAGTCGGATCCGACTCGCCGTTGTGTATCATTTCATTAAAAGCGCAAACGAATATATTAACTACTTCTATACAGTTATTAAGATTAGGCCATAAAAAATATTTTGAAACTGTTAGAGAATATTAGTTATATAGTGTAACTAATAATTGCGTTCGGGTCAGGATATAAATAGATTTGTTAAATAAAACGCAAATTAAATGTACGGCTAATTGTTTTTATTTGATGTATGAGAGTTATACGCTCGTGTGCTGAAACTGAGGTCGGCGGCGATATCAAAAAACTAAAGGTAATAAAATAACAATTATATTATATACAACGAGAAACTGGGTACGGTCGCCGGGGACACGGAGCATAGACGGTGCTCCGGTCGCTGCGAAAAATTACAGTGGACTGGTTGCCGGGCCGCCGCTGCGGCCCGTGCCTGTACCTTAGACACGAGGTGCAGTGTGACCAATCCAGGGCACACTGTACCTCGGCCCTTACAACAATATGAGTACAATTTTAAAGCAAAAAAAAAAAAATAATAAATTGACGCTAACATTCGGCCTTTCCCGACCCGTCAGAGCGTCCTCGTTCTGAGACGGACTAGGCCCACTAAACGTTAGGCGACAATTTGAATACATTATAGCAGTGAATAATTTTACAAATAACAAAAACAGGAACTTCAAAACAATGAATAATTTACAAATAATAAAAACAGGAACTTCAAAACAATGAATAATTTACAAATAATAAAAAAAAGTTATGTGAACTAGTGACACAATGGCTGACGGCGCTTAACCTAGTTTGTAGTCCGAAAGGTATGCAGGTGGTTGCCTGATCCGCATGGACCCAGTATCAATTGGGTCGCCCTTTTCACTGGGGTCTCCACCCTCGACTTCACGTCGGACATCGCTATCATTATCTTCTTACTCGACCTCACGTCGGACATCGCTATAATTTTCTTCTTCGTCCTCGTCATTGCTTTCCGCTTGTCGTAGTATCTTCCAGGACTTAAATTGCGAAGTATGAGCTGTGGTGGCGTAGACTTCTCGCCCGTCTGTGGTAATTTCGGCCACTCTGTAGGTGTCACCCGGTAGTACTTCCATTACAAGCAAAGGTCGCTCGCGATATCTAGCCTGTAGTTTTGACGGTTGGTCAGGTCGTGGTTGTCTCAACATGACAACGACTTCGCCTACCTCGTACCTCACTCCCGGACATCGGCCCCTATCATAACGTTCCTTCATGCTCACCTGGCCCACTGTGATCGCGTCGCGCACTGCATTCTGCACTTCCATCGGATCAGTTGGGTTGTCACCGGCACAACTCAGGGTGTTAAGTAGGCCTCCGGTGTATCTTGGTCGGTATCCGTGGAGCGCCTCGAAGGGAGTGCGGGTGCTGGTCTTATTCACGGCGGAATTGAGGTGTCTCTCCAGCTCCGGTACTCGTTCGTCCCAGTGAGCTTGGTCGGTCGTATTTATTATTAGAAGCGGCACAATAGTCCGATTGGCGCGCTCGACTTGTCCGTTAGCTTGCGGGTGACGGGTCGAATTTAGCGTGTGACGAATGCCTCAGCTCTGGCAAAATTTCGCGAATGCTTTTCCGGTAAAGCAGGTGCCGCGATCACTAATAATACGTTCAGGTATACCTCGCGCGTCACAAAATTTCGTCAGTCTATTCAATACACCCGCGGTATCCGTGGTACGGCACGGATAGAGGTGTGTGTACTTGGTTAAATTGTCTACCAGGACCAACAAATATTTATTACCCGCGGTGCTGGTCTCGAATGGTCCCAAATGGTCGATGTGAATGATCTCAAACGGTCGGCGACCAGTCGGTATGGGGTGCAGGTGTCCTGGTTTCTTGCCAGCCGGTACCTTGTGTACGAGGCAGTCCAGGCACATACGTAAATGTTGTTTAACGTACCGCCGTAATCCGGTGAACCAGTATTCTTCTGTGATTTTTGAGATGATTCGGTCTAATGAGAAGTGACCCCCATAATCGTGTGCACCAATGACGATCCCCTTTCTCATTGACCGTGGCACAACCAACAACGATCGTCCGGCGTGTTTCCGGTACAGGACACCATCACGTAGCTCGTACGGTTCAATTAAAGTTTTCTCGTGCTTGGTGAGTGTCTCTTCAGTCTTGATTAAATTAATGATATTTTTACTCGCGGCGTCGCCTTGTTGCATGAAACGAACTCTGTCCACAACGGTCATGGCAACGAAGACGTCGAGTCGTTCAGTAAGTTCTTGTTCGACCGACAGGTCGTCTGCGTCCGAAATCGGCGGAGCGGCGCGACTCAGGGCATCCACATGTGCCATACGGCTGCCAGGTCGGAACTTAACGTCAAAATCGAATTCTTGTAAAATCTCAAACCACCGTGCAATTTGTGGCTTGACGGTTTTGTGTATATTTAAATACACTAGTGATTGGCAATCGGTTACAACCGTGAAGTGTATTCCCAACAAATACGGTCGAAGTCGACTCAGTGACCAGATGACGGCGAAGAGCTCCAGTCGACTGCTATGATATTTAGCTTCGGCGTCGGTTGTCTTTTTGCTGACCGCGTAGACCATATGCAAATCGGTAGCGGTCGGCCCTTGTAACAATATCCCCGACAGCGCCACAGCGCTAGCGTCAGTATGCACTTGTGTTACTGCCGCTTTCGGGTCGAACATGCGCACCACTGGCGCATCACACAACAAATCGCGGAGCGTGGCGAACGACTTCTGTTGCGGCTCACTCCACTCGTACGCCACATCCTTGCCGGTGAGCTGCGTTAGCGGAGTAGCCACTCTGGCGTAGTTGACGATAAAGTGCCTGAAATATCCAGTGAGACCTAAAAAACGGCGCACCTCGTGGGCGTCCCGCGGCTGCGGGAATGTCTTAATTGCGCGTACCTTCTGGCCTGGTCGTATTGTGCCTTGGGATACTGTGAAACCGAGGAAGTCTAGCTCGCTTGCGCCAAACGTGCACTTGGCGGGTTTTAACGTTAACTTGGCCGTGCGGAGCGAATCGAACACACGCCTAACCACGTTGAGCATATGGTTCCAGTCTTTTGAAGGTATGATGATGTCATCCAGATATACGTACATTAATCCCTGATGCAACAGTTCTTTGAAGACGGCATTCATGGTCCTCTGAAACGTACCGGGGGCTCATTTTAACCCGAACGGCATCCGTTCGAACCTCGCGGTAGTTTCTTCCGTGACAAATGCCGTTTTGTCCTTGGCATCCTCGCTCAGCGGAATTTGCAGGAACCCGTTAGAGAGGTCCATCGTGGTGAATATCCGGCCTTCCGCGAGCCTCGATAATAGATCATCAATATCCGGCATCGGATAGGGTTGGGTCTGTGTTTGTTGATTCAATCTTCGGTAGTCAACGCACAATCGTTTTTCGCCCGTGCCTTTATTTACGAGGAGTACCGGGCTGGCGTATGGTGACGTAGAGTCCGAAATAACCCCGGCGGACCTCCACTCATCCAAAATCTGGGCTATGATGCGGCGGTCGGTAGGTGACGTGCGGTACGGCCTTTGTCGTATTGGGACACTACCCGGCACCTCATCAATGTTCATCTGCAACATGTCCGTGCACCCAAGTTCGGCCAACGTCTTGGTAAACACGTCACGGTACTCGTTTAAAAGCGTCATTAGTTTGCTACGTTCCGCTTCATTGACGTTCGGGTCAATTTTGACGTCGGTACACGACAGCGGAGTCGTCGCGGGCTTATCCGCACTGACGAGAGCTGTATACACGTCTGTACCTTCTTCTGACGCATTCTCGGACAGCGCTGTAGGGTTTATGACGTTCAGTGATTCGATGACTAATTCATTATGGCGCTTATAGTAGTGAATGTGTAATAAGTTTAGCCACGACCGGCCCACGATTACGTCTACCGGTATTGATTCGTCACTAACGACGAGCACCGGATGATCGGCAGCACTCGCGTCGTCGATCGCGATGTCCGCGGTGGTCTCACCCAGTGTAACCGCACCTGGGGAGTTCACGTCGCCTACTGTGAACAGTGAACGTGAGACCTTGCGGATCGCGGATGTGGATCGCTCGGCGAGGCTGATCCGGACTAGAACATCGGATGAGCCGGTGTCGATCAGGCAGGTAGCGCGTATGTCGTTGAATATGATTTCTTTCATGAAACAGTTTTCTCTCGGGAGCCTCAATGTCGGTGCGACGCAATACGACTCGGCAGGAGGCGTGACCCTGCGTGGATTTTCGGTGCACTGACCTCGCGAATGCGTCGTCGACTGACAGCCCGAACATGGCTTCCGTGGCTTTGGACAGTCCCGTGCTATGTGCCCGTTGGCACTACAGTTGTAGCATCGTACTGCAGACGTCTTCGGTTGTTCGGATGAGGTGGTTGGATTCATACTTGATGTTCCCGCAGTCGACGGTGTTTTATCAGCGGTACGGCGTGTGTTAGCGTTTTTAGGTGCTGCATTCGACTTAAACGTAGGCGGGAACTGCGTCTTCCGCAGCTCATATAAACGTTGCCACTCTTGCAGGTCAGCCAGCAATGAAGCGGCAGTGCTTTGGTTCCTGCTCATGGCATATACAGCCAATTCCCGTGATCGGATACCCATAACAATATGGTCACGTGTCTCGGTGAATGAGAGATGTAAAGCCTGGCACAGACGTAGCTTGTCATAAAAGTAGTCAGCTATGTGTTCTGCTTCGCCTTGCAGTCGCTCACTCAGCGCCTTCCACCGGTCTGTCATACGAAGAGTACGAACAAATGCGGAACGGAACTTCGCCAGAAAATCGGACCAATCAGTGAATTCCTCCGTGAGGTACCAGCTGCGGGCCGCGTTTGTCAGATTAGATTTTGCATACTGCAGACGGTACGGCACTGGCCAATTGTTGATGCTGGCCAAAGCATCGACGGTGTGTTATGAACGCCACCGCATATGCCTGTGGTGTTGTGTTATATTTTATATTGCGTCTCTGGTTGTATCCGTAGACTTCAATTTGTTGAAAACCGTTCTCTGTGTAGCGGGTGATAGTCAAATGTTGTTTAATAGATTATTAATAAAAAGAACACACGTTTTAGATTTAAATGAGAATATTATACTTTATTAGTTTTAAGAAATATAATTTATACTACAAGAACACTACTTAACTCGAATTAG